ATACGTGTTTGTGATTAAATCGTGCTCGCGTGTGAATAACGCGAAATCTTAAATTAAAACCAGTGTGTAACCGGTTAATTAACTAGTGTTTTACTATCACCTGTGACGTCATTGTTTACCACAATTTGGTACAGACAGACGCGTCGATATTTGCTACGTAGTGACCAAGTTACGTACATTTTTCAGCGAACGTAAGTACCCACGAAAATCTATTGTCGCCTTCTATTGTTTTGTTTTTAATTGTCACCATTTTCGTAAATACGTCAATAATTCTTATTGACAGATATAATGGATGTATATGCTTGTAAAGTAACTCGATAATCAAATCATTTTTTTGTTTTTTTAATAAATTTTCTCAACCGGCTTTTCATCTGTATTACGATAATTCGTTTTGTAACAAAGTTACGAAAACATATAATAATATAAAAATTTATTATACGAGTATTCAAATAGGTCTCTAATTGTAATCTCTATTTAGCTATATATTGAAAAAATGTTTGATATTTATTTCAGTACGATCTATAAACAATATTTTATATCACTTGTATTTGTGAAAAATAATAAATCTATTTTATTTAAAAAAAATCTTTTGCCCCTCTGTGGGTTTCGAATTACTATATCTTTTGTCATTTATTAAATTGTGAAAGAAAAAAAATAGGTATATGTTTTCTTACTCATATAAAAGGAGATGGAAAGAGATCGAACCAACTCTTACAGACAGAAAAACAATTGCAAATCCTATTTACAACTGTCTACGAAATTCATTAAACTATACGTAACTAGTCTTCAATGAAAAAATCATATTTATCAAATCATAGTAATATTCAATATCTCTAGTATTGTAAGTTACGAATTGTCTCTCCATCATCTCAGACAACAAGTTTAGGCTACCAGGTCATACTGGAACAGACTGATATAAGGAATGAAAATCTTACTAATATTATAAATGCGAAAGTTTAGATGGATGGATGTTTGTTAGAGTTTGTACTAAACGGCTGTACAGATCTCGGTAAAATTTGGTATAGACGGACGAAGTCCCGTGCGAAAGCTAGTAGTCGCATGAAGAGTTTTCCTCCCAAGTCGTCGTGTACGGTCTCGTGAACTCCTTTTATTTGGTATCAGGGGGAAATATTTAAAAGATGTGAGATTTTACTTTTTAAAACCCCCTCAGTGGCCATCTTGGACTGCGACTGTAGAGTCCCGGGATCTCCAAAGGAACGCTCCTGGACTCTGGACGATCCAGAGGCGGAACTCCCCTCGTGCCTTCAAACACGGTCTCGAGAACGTACTGTTTTGGCATACTTCTCTTTTGACAGGCTTGTATTTCCCCTCTTAATGATCAATTATCGTCTCTAAGAGTGCGCACACCTTTGACAACTATCGCACAACTGTTTAGTTGTGCAACAACAGTTGAATTAGCTAAGAAACAATCGCCAATCGCACAACAGTTCTGCGATAGTTTAACCAAAGGTTTAGCCGCAAGTCTTGTACAAAATAGATTTTAATGATGAAATAGGAGATCCTACCTTGACCTACCTTTTTGCAGTCAAATGATAAAACGAAAGTAAAGAATTCAGCGAAGTATTAACAAATAATAAATCTATCTCCGCGTGCAAACAGCAAGTTCAAACAAAAACTGTTACGTCGAAGCCTCGCTTACGTGTGCTTAAGATAAATGTTGCGTGTGATGACACTGAAATTATTATTATTATTAAAAATGTAACATTTTGAAACATTTAATATTAACTGCATCATTCCCTTAGCCTACTCCTGTAGAGTCGGCGCATCGGGTTTTCGTACTCTAAATAACTCTCATACGTCATCTCAGGCATCACTTCCTTCTTAATGTCACCTTTCACGCGATCTATCCATCTCTTTCTAGGTCTACCTCTACCGGTGTATCATATTCATACGTTAAAAATCAACTTACGTCTTTAAAAAGAGGTAAAAACAACATTTCATATTTAAATTTTTTATATTTTGACGTCTGGTAAAGATGTATGGAAAAGAAGTGCTTACCGTGCCGACTCTCTAGGGGATAGTGCAAGATGATAATTTTTCATATTATCTTCTTCTTCTATCTTCGCTTTTTCCCAGTTATTTGGAGTCGTCATTTCTTTTCCTACCTAATTCTCCAGACAGCACGAATCTTAGAGGCCTGTTCGTCAAGTTTTATTACTTTCATATTCTCTTGGACCGTCGTCAGCCAAGTGGTAGGTGATCTTCGGCGAGTTAGCGTCGTCGTCGTAATAATCTTTCATATTATCGTTATTAAGCTAATTTAATTATGTCCACAGATTAAAATAAACGTATTTTCAAACAACATAAGTCCAATAAAATACTTTAGACTCAACAATCTTTTATGCAAAACTTTTTTATTTACACGTCTCAAGTTAATAAAAACGTTTACTAGCACAAAATACGTAAAAAAACATTTTCCAACAGACATATACAATGAATTTCGAATTTAAGTTACTATTTATAAAGAATTTGCTTTTGTTTGCAATAACGCCAAGAAGCCTATGTGTATTTGCCAGACTATATTTAACGTCAGTGCTAAATTTCATCGAGATCTGTTGATCCTGGAGACACGAAGTAACAAACAAGTAACAAGCATCGATCTAAAAAAATCTTACTAATATTATAAATGTGAAATTTTAGCTGGACGCATATTTGTTAGGGTGTGTAGCCTAAACGGATTACCGGATCTCGATGAAATTTGGCATAGACGTAAAGGGTAATCTGAAAGAGCACATAGCCTATTTGCTTTTGTTTTTTTTTTTTAATTTCAAAGGGACGGAGTCACGGGCGAAAGTTAGTAATCTATACTATTATAATAAAGCGTTAACACACACTTCTTTGTTACCTAAGATGTCAGCAATTACAGCATATTTTTGAATAATTATTTATTTAATCAAAAGCAATACACGTACGTCACGCTTTAGGCTATATATTTTCACGCCATTAAACTTAAGGGGTAAATATTATGTATAAAAACCCTAATGTGGGAAAGAGACCATAAGTTGCTGCCAACATCAAGGACACAAAATTGACAAGGTTTGTCATGTCATGTAATTTTGACATTTGCTATTGATAATTTAACAAATGGAAACAACAAAATAAAATTTTCATAATTTCATGCGGACGGAGCCACACGGGAACAGCTAGTATAATAATAATCAGAAGTAAGTTATTGATTTGATTTCAGTCCATGTTAATGACATTTAATTGAATTCGTCCTATATCGATTCAATCGAGTTGTAGTTAATTAAATTATAAATTGAATCTCAAAGGGAACCATTCTGATAAATCTATTTCGGCAAAGTGAACGACAGAATCGGTAAATGTCATTCAATAACCGATCATATCATGACGTAATGAAGATTGATAAATATTTAAAAGTGTCAAACGAAAACGGTATTCGCAGGCTATAATTTTGTTTCATCTACTTTTAATTACAAGAGAATTCTCTTTCAATCGTGAGAATCGTCAAACAATAGTTAAGAACTCAAAAATCTCGACTGATTACATCCCTGTAACAAGCTAAGGAAGGATACAATCTGCAGAAAAGTAACTACAACTGCCAGCTACAGATAGTTGAATGCTACCTTGCATGCCAGTTACTGTCTAACTAGTCTCATCTCATACGATCTTAGACATTTTACTGGCATGTGTCAACGCAATAGACCACAATTTGGTAAATGCCAGTAGCTCGCATATCAGCTACTATCCCATTTTACTGTGATGTATATACTAGCTTTCGGCCCTGAGTCAGTCTACGTGTTTTTCCAGACTATCCTCTACTCGTACATCTACGCCAAATTTCATCGATATCAGTTCAGTCGTTTAGGCTACAAACCCTAACAAAGTTCCATCCATCATCAGAGTTTGTAGACTTAACGGCTGAAATTTGGCATAGACGTAGGGGATAATCTGGAAGGCTACTTACAAGGTAAGGCACATAGGCTACTTACCTTTGGTTCTTTTAATTCCACGCAGACGGAGTCGCGGGCGAAAGCTAGTATGCTATAATTATTATTAGATTTTGAATGCCATACGAACAAAGATAGCAAAATCGAGAGCGAAAGCTAGTTATTTTTCATTGTTAATATGTTTAAGAAGAATCTATTTTTGTCTTTGAAATACCGCATTTCAAGTTATTTCCGGTTGAGATTTCCACGTATAGATTTCTGTCGACCACGCAAACTCAATATTGAATAACCAGTAACTAACTTTCGTATAACGGACTGTTCATAAATAGATTGGTAGAGAACAAAGAATATGTTCTCTATATTCTATTGTTATTTTCTTCCTCAAAGACATTAAAATAGATTTTATAGACGAGGCAGTGAACAAAATTTTTCCATCGGTACTTTCTCAGAACAGTACTATGTCAGTTCATCATCCACTTGCCCTTATCCCTTATGGAGGGTCGGCACAGTATGTGCTGCTCTTCCATACATCTCTATCAGCCGTCATATCTGAATCCACTCCTTTCTTAAGCATATCTTCCTTCACACAATCCATCCATACTTTCTTCGGTCTTCCTCTTCCTTTGTAGCCATCCACATTCAATCTCAACACTTTCCAGTTTATGTCCCCATCATTTCGTCGCATAATATGTCCATACCACGCTAACCTTTTGCTTCTCAATTTCTTCACCACTGGCGCTACTTTCAAACTTCCTCTAATGTACACATTCTTAACTTTATCCAATCTTGTCACACCACACATCCATCTTAACATACGCATCTCAGCCACATGCAATCTCCTTTCATCCGCAACTTTGGTGGCCCAGCATTCAAATCCATACAATACGACTGGTCTTATGATGGACTTGTAGATCTGTCCCTTAAGCCTAAGAGGCATTCTTGGATCACAAGTATGCCTCTTAGGCTTAAGGGACGATTAAGACGGTACTATGTCAGTTATTAAGTTTATTTATTTAAATCATAATAAGCTACATTTTTTTTTATAAAACTAAATAGTATAACAAAATAAAATATAATAGTGACCTCTATTTCAAATGAAGTGTCAACTATGCCTCTTCTATGTAATTGAATCTCTTTATTCTTCCTATTCGTAGTTTACTATTTAATTTCGCGTTTAAAAATAAACAAAAATTTATGAATTCCTTTCAATGCCTTTAACGAGAATAATTTCAAATATCGAATGATGTTAAAAATTAAAT